TTGGGCAGGAAGGGCCATTTGCTTGGCCTGTCCGGGTACCCTGGTGCCACCTCATTCCAACCTCACTGCGGCTTTGCACGAGGACAGCAGACATTCCCTCAGTGGTGACATGCCAGGCAGCTTCAAGGTCCTTGTGAGTTTAAAGCATTTAATCTTCACTATACCATGAGATAGATCCTGTTATTTCCCAGTTTTACTGATGGGTAAACTGAGGCACAAGGCCTTGCGGCCCATGCCAGGTGAATCTGGGAACAAACCCCAGGACTCGCAGGTGCTGAAGCTGGGGCTTCCTCGCATGGCGTTTCCCCTTCATCCCAACAGAAGGAAACAGCAGGGCCCATCCTTGGTGCCTCCAGAGAAGCACACCCACCTGGGAGGGCATCCCCAGCGAGGGCCACTCCTTCAGGAAGGGCTGCAGCCTTCAGTTCACTGGCACACCACACTCATTGGCTGTGAAGATGTGTGGCTTGGAATGTTTTGTCCTTTTTTGGGGCTACCCTGTCCAAGCCAAACTGCAGGACATTTTTCAAGAGACCAGCTATAAATATTTTCCTAACAAGGTCTCTCTGGAATGAGAAATGGAAACTTTTCGTGTTGCAACAGTCAACTCTGACATTTTAACGATGCATCAAAACTGGCTGCAGAGGCGGCCAGTGGTGGAGGGGTGAGTGCCCCTTGCTGGCACTGCCGTGGAGCCTGCCGACCCAGACCCAGGCCTCGCCAGCACATGACACTGCCCCTGCTCATGCCTTTGACCTCTCAGCACAGACGGCAAGATGGAGACTGTTCTCATCCCCATCACAGGTGAGCAGACGGGATCAGAAGGGCAGAAGCCACATTCAGACTTGGGGCCTCCAGTTGTGGAGGCCACCCACCACCCAAATCCCAGTGGGCTGCCTTCCTCCCTCCACCTGGGGCTCTTCCTGGCAGGCTGGCCCACAGGCAGCACATGTGGATGCAGGTATGGGGCCCATTCCTTCTGCAGTGGGCACAGGTACACAAACTCAACACCGCCTCCAGGCTGGGACTGGGCGTACCAGGGAGACGCACAGACGTGGGCACAGTGGACCAGCAAAGATCCTCTCAGCCGCAAGGGACAGAAACCAAAGGCACACCTTCAGCTGAAAAGGGACTTACCAGTTCAGGACACTGGGAAGAATGGGGTGGGGGTCAGGTGTGGCTGGATCCAGGCACTCAAACAACGGGATCAGGTTATCCCCCCACCCCATTTTGTTTCTGTGCTGGGTTCTTCTCTCCTGCAGACAGGCCTCCCTCTAGGAAGAAGAGCCGACATCTATCTCACAGCTCCCGAGTGGGTCCCGCTCACTGGGTGGAACCCCAGTGGCCCTGTTTGGATTCTGGTCCCCCCCCGAACCTGGCCTTGCTCTGACCAGGAGGGTGCGGCTGACCGACCCAGCTGAGGACACGGCCTCCAGTGGTGAGGACACTGGGAAAGAAGAAGGGGGAGATAACAGCAGACAAAGAAGGGAGATAAAGCAAGCATGGTGGCAGGCAGAAAGCTGCCACCATGCCCCTCAGCCACCGTGACTCACCAGCAGCCCCCAATCCTTTCCACGCTTCTCACCAGCCACGGGTCCAAGGGCGGCATCTGCGATGCAGTGCTCGGCACACGGTGGTGCTGACATGGATCATCCAGAGGCCTGTGGCACTCAAGTGTCCCTGCCCCTGCCCTTCCTCAACCACCCAGCCCCGAGGCCACCTGACAGGAGGCGACAAGGCAGGTGTCCCCACATGGGGGGCGGGGGTGCTAGGCCTGGCAGGGTGTCCCCACCAGAGGGTGGCCCAAGCGGGTGGGACTGGCACAGATGACACACTCAGTAAATGCACTGAATAAACAGCACTGGGGTGCCCTGGCATAAGAATGGACGAACAAGCCCCCTGAGGGAGACTGAGGCCAGCACGGGGCTCTTGGTGCCCGTTAGGCAGTCCGAGGCCACGCACATGGATGGCATTTAAGGGCAGCGGGCGCCAGGCCCATGTGAGGAGGGTCTGGAAGGGGTGGGAGGCGGACGGCATCACAGCAGCTGGGCGAGAGAGGACAGATAGGACGTCAGGCCACGAGGGAGGGGAGGGGACAGATCTGAGGCCCCAGGAGCACCTGTCTCCCCCCTGCCCTTCTCCCCGAGGTGCCCCTGAGACGAGGGGCCCCTGCCCCACCAACTTCTCACTGAGCCTGGCCTTGTTTTCCTTGTTGGTTTTTAATTCGAAACTTTCCAATTTCAAACTATTGTTGAGCGAGTAGCAAAGTCAAACAAAACAGGAATTCCGACAGCAGCCCTGCGTGCCCACCTGCCTGCCCCGGGCATTCCCGGCGCCTCGGGACCCCTGAGCATTCAGAGCAGCGCGGGCTCGCACTGGGCTCTCGACCACTTCCAGACGGCTGTGCTGGACAGGCAGGGGAAGGGCGCTCGTGTTAGACACGGGACAGACACCCCAGGGGCAGTGGGCAGCTCCTTTTATTTAATTCTTAAGTAATTTATACCTCTTTGAAACAAACAAAAAACTCTGAGCCTAATAATACAGCCATCTGAGATCCTCTTATATAAAACAGCCGGCAAAGGAGGCTGGAGAGCCCCCCGAGAAGGCTGGGGACGCCCCCCCAGCACCGTCCCCAGAACAGTGAGGAGGAGAGGTCCCCACAGGCCGGGGGCCCGTGAACCACGCCTCAGGGAGACCCTCCTGACCGCCCAGGCCCCGGAGCCAGGGCTGGGTCGCTGCCACCACCAGGGCGCAGAGGACGATGGGAGAGCGGCTTCAGGGAACTCACGGCCCCAACAAAGCGCCGGCCAGCAGCAGGGAGCACGCGGGAGACACGCACAGCACCCCGGACACCAGCTCCAAGCACGGTGACTGTTCCTGCGCATCCTCTCCCCCCGAGGGCTGAAAGCCGGCTGCCCAATAGTGGGGGTGATACTTTTATAGCGTTTGAGGGAAGCCGGGCCTGGCAAGGGGACAGGTGTCCCACGGGAGGGTGGCAGAGAGGCTGCTGGTCACACCTCCAAGGGAACAGAACCTTCCTGCCTCTCAGGGCAGCACCCCAAGATTCAGCCGGGACTCCGGTTTTGCCTGGGAGGGAGGGGAGAGGCTGGAAAAGGTCCCTGGTGGGGGGCGGTGGGGAGAGAGGAGCATGCGTGCCAGGCTTACACTTGCACCAGACCAGCGACAGAGTGCCCGGCACTGCCCTGCCCAGTCGCACCCCGCATCACTCCTGCCGAGGTCCGAGAGCCCACCCGTCCTCCCACAGGCACGTAGCCACCGCCCGGAGGGGGCAGCCCTGCCAGCCCTCCGTCCCCCCGTGGGAGGCGGTCCTTAACTCTCCTCTCCCCTCCTGCCCCTCCTCTGGCTGGTCAGCTCATCCAGCTTCCTGTCCAGCCTCCTCTGGAGCTGGGCCCGCCTGGCTGGGTCCAGGGACCGGTCCTTGGTACCACTGCCAGCGTAGAGGACTCCTTCCCGGCTGATCCTCTGCCGGGCATGGGCGCGAGCCCTCTCCCCGCAGCCGTGGACCTGGGGGAGACACGGCAGTCAGCGTGGGGCCAAGTGGGGCTGGCAGAGCTTGGGGGCCATGAACCCACATGACATCTCAGGGGGGGCTCCCCCATCCTGCATGCGTCCCCCACCCACAGGCTGCCAGGAGGACCGGCTCCAGGCCTCTGCCCCGTGCCCCCCGCCCAGCCTGACCATCCTCTTGAGCAGACATGCGCACAGGGCCGGGCCCACGCCAACCATCCTGACAGGCTGGTGTCGCCTTGCATTTGGGTGGCACACACACAGGCCCACTGGCAGCAGGGTTTGTGAAGCAAATCACACTGCTATGGGCCACGTTGGCCCGCACCCAATTACTTCAAGGCCAGTACCCAGGCCAGGACTGCGATGTCCTCTGGGCAAAAACTGTGACCCAATGCCAGCCTGTTGTGGGTGCCCCAAAGCACACCAGCTGATGAGCACCCATCAGAGAGGAGCATATCCTGCCCCTGATTTCAGTGAATTCTAGCTTAACGCACTGTTTCTAAAAAGAGAGAGGAAAGAGGAAAGGAAGTGCAACACACAGGCACACAACCAGGGCTGGACACACATTTCATGGACCCCTACGAAGGGGACGGGCAGACGGGACTCGGGCTCATCTGCCGAAGCCCGACCATCCCCAGCTGCCCCAAAGAAGGGTGTTTCTCACGGGACTCCCTGGCGGGACCCAAGTTCGGACCTTGTAAGATTCCACACAGACCACCAATGAGCTCACAAGCCCCGTGCTGCTCACCTCCCGCCCAGTGCCCATCCCACACCTCATTCACTGGGCGTCCTCACTCCCCTCCTCGGGCCCCTTCTGGGCTGCCCTAGGCCCACCCCTGCCCACCACAGCTCTCCCAGACATGCACACGCAGGAGCATCCCAGACCCCACAGATCTCTGCAGCTGAGGGGTCAGGTGAGGCACACAGCCCCTGGGGCAGACACAGAGGCTCAGGGCCACAGTGACACTCATCTGCCCACGTCAGGAAGTGAGCAGGTGGCAGAGCCGGTGCTGGAGGCCGAGCCCCCCACCACAGCCTCTCCTGCAGCCAGAACCTCTCATCAGACAGGATGCTGTGCAGGGCTTCCCACAGCCACAATGAGTGGTGGCACAGGAGCATGGCCTGCACCGGCCCTCGCGCCTCAGGGGCTCGCCACCCCCACACAGCACCGCCGTGAGCACACGCCGGCCACGCAAACCTGCATCCAACAATACCCGAACGCCCTAGATGAAAACCTTCCCAAAGCACCACACACTCTATCAACAGGCGTGGACGCAGAGGCCAAGGGGCTGTGTGAGGAGCCCCTTTCTGGGTTCGGGGCCAGCAGAGCTCCCAGCGGGCGAGTGAGTACACCCCCAGACCTCACCAGGACACGGGCGTGGCTCCTCCGGGGGCCTCCCTCCCACACAGGGAGCCCCTACACCCTCCCTCCTGTCTGCAGATCAGAAACTCAGGGTCCCTCTGGGTCCTTCCTCTTCTCATCCTGACTTACAACCAGTTCAAGGGCTCCGAAGCCGCCCCTCTGCTCTCGCCATTACCCAGCCCCAGGGTGGACCCCACGACCTCCTGGCCCCAGCCACCTCTGCAGGGCAGCCGTGTCTCCTGGCACCAGAGCCCTGCTGAGCCCACCAGCGCTCCCCACCGCCTCCAGAACCAGGTCGGGCTCAAGGCAGCTCACAGGCCCTCTCAGCCTCCACCTGCACCGCCCTGCCCCACACTCTGCTCCCAGCCACCCCGGTGCGCCGTCCCTGTGCCCAGGCCTTCACACGTGCCCTCCCTAGCTCGGCTCACTTTCCACCTGTGGGGTCTCAGCCCCAGAGTTACTTCCCCCAAAAGCCTGCTCTCATGGCTGCCTCTGGGCGGCCCCTACGAGCTGCAGCCACCCTGGCCCCAGGGTCCCCCCCTGGGGGCACTGGGCATGTGGTACCACGCTGGCCTCTCACCTGGGTCTACACCAGGTCCGTGCAACCCAGTGCAGAGATGGAGCCTGCTCTGACCCCAGCTCTCCCAGCTGGCACACAAAGTTCTCATCCACATGTGCTCAAGGAATGAGTGAAAAACAGCCAGGCTGCCAGCCTGTTTCAGACCATGGGCAAGAGGCCTCACCTGCCACCTCCCCTCTGCTAGCGCTGACAGAACCCAAGACCCCAGGCCAAAATTCTCTACCCAGAATTCCTATCAACATGGTTGTAACCCAGCACATGGCACTTTACTTACTCATGCCCTGATGCGTTCAAATCAAATTGTGAGTTGGTATCTGTTTTAAGGTATTCAGAGCTTACGACCAGCTACTGTTTCTACCCAGAGCGCATCTGCCCAAGGGATCTGAGCCCTGGAGACCAGCGCCGCCACCCCTCCAGTGCCCGCGCCCAGCAGGGCTGCTGTACCTCCGGCAGGTGGTGGCTGAGGCAGTACCGCCGGCTGCAGTGTGGGCAGAACTGGCCCAGGGTCGTGACGCTGGCTGTGCACTTAGTAAAGCCACAGGTATGATCAGCCTCAATGGCAGCCGAGACCAGGGCATCGAAGTCCCCCTCGAGGGGCAGACCTGTGGCGACGTGTCCTAGGGAAAGAAAAGTGTCACTCTGACAAGAAAAACACAGTAATCGGGTAAGACCCGTCCACTTGGCCCATGTCTGCCCCCTCCTGCAGCTGTGCCCTGGCTTTGGGCTTTCAGGCTCCCAGCCAGCAGCAGACATGCCCTCCCTCGGCCCAGCGCCCGTCCAACTGCAGGTGGCTCTTGGTCACTGAGCTAATAGCCACTCACTGCCGGGAGGCGAGAGCTCAGTGCGCACTTCCTGGAAGGGACCGTAAGGCACGCACGGCGCCTCTGCAAGTTCTTCTTCAATTCAGAAAACATTAAAAGTGATGTCCCTCACTAACTATAAAAATGCAACCCTGAAACAAACTAAAATGTTGCAGCAGGATTCATGAAATGAGCTGCAGGGTGCAGGGCACCCCTGGTTGCGCCTCAGGAGACCCTAACTAACATTCTGACCAGGTGCACCCAGGTCTTTCAAAGTTACAAGAAAACGCTCATAGTCGGAAAGAGAGATGAGATTACACAGGGCCATGATTCTGTAAGACACACACATGTAACAGAAACGCGTATGTTTAGAGACTCAGATGCACAGGAAGGAAGGGACCACCCAGGCAGCCGATGTGGATTATCTGAGGCGGGCGGGCAGACAGGACGTGCGGCCGCACCACTTCCCCGAGTCACTCTGCAGCGGGCGTGCCACAGTGCTCCGCACACGGGTCAGAATGGTGGCCCTTAGGGGACACAGGACAACTGTGGCACTGCCCGGAGCCCCCGCCCTCCTGCAAGAGCCGCGGTCTACAGCAGCCATTTCAATCCTTCCAGGCAGCATGCCGTCGCCATGGTCATCTGTACACGGGGACGTGTCCCCTAACGGTCCCTGAGAAAGGAGCTGCAAGCTGACAGGGCGGGTGAAGGCATGCTTACCGCGCACACACACCAGCCTGGTGGACACCCAACGTCAGGGGAGGGACAGATGTGCTGACACCCTTAAGAACAGCACCAGGAGGCCTGGAGGAGGCCCAGAAGGGGCTTGCTGCCTGCAGGAAGTTCCCGAGGTGATGGCAAGCATCCCTGGGAGACGGATGAGATACGGGGACCAGGCAGTGAGTGTTCAGACCCCAAACTAAAACAAAATCTCCTCCACCTGAGTACAGGCTCACCTGTCCCACACAACAGTGCACTCTATTCCCCTAACCGTCCCGTGCAGCAGGCAGGACCGCCAGGCAGCCCTTCCTCTGCTCAGCAATGCCTTCTCGCCTGGACCACCAACTGAGGCTCCAGGGGCCTGCTCAGGGGGCCTTTCGGCTGCTGGGACCTCGGCAGTGTGGAGACCAACAGGAAGGTCACATGTGGAGTCTGACTGGTGAGATGGATTCTGAAGGTGGCTGCTTGAGAAGAGGTGCCAGCATCATGAAATGGAGCAAATTCCCCCCAAGGACACTGTCCTCAAGTGACCACTCTGCATGCCTTCCTGGAAGAAAGGCCAGGTCCTCTGGGCATACTCTACAGGCACCTGCTCTTCATGGCATTTACTATATGCTCAGCACAGTCTAAAAAGGATTTAGCACCACCCTCCTCTGGCAGAATGTCTGGAGGGCAAGGGTATGTCTATGTTGTTCATCAGCGCAAAGTCTGGCACGTAGTAGCTGCTCACTAAACACAATGGCATGAATTCAGCTGGAGCCTCAGGCTCTGAGGCTGACCCATGAATCACGAGTGTGCAGCTTTGTTCACAGAAATTAAGTGAATAAAGGGGACCGTGAACAGCTTCATGGTGTTGCTGAGAGGAAAATGGCTGCAACCAGAGCTCACCCAGAAGTCTCAGAAAATCCAGGCTGTGACCCCCAGGTCTTCAAGCTCCGTGCCTGTGGGCACTCGATCACAGCACTGGATGGGGGCAGAGCGAACAGCCCACGTGCAGCGCAGGATGCAGGGCGGAGTGTGTGCCCTTCCAGGACGCAGGGCGGCCGACCTGCACGCCTGCCTGGGTGTCTGGGTCAGAGCAAGCAGGCACTGCAGCCCAGAGGCCCAATCCCACTCCCAAGGGTGGGGATTCCACAACCACCCCACGTGCCCTTCCAGGCCCTTTCCCGCCAAGGACAGACCAAGTGCCCCCTCTCTGCCAGGCGCTGCACGAGGCTCTGGGTACATAAGGGCCACCATGGCCAAGCCCTGCCTTCAGCGTGCTCAGACCAAGTCGATTAAAACAAGGCACAAGACTCAATGACTCCAGAATGGACCAGCAGTTACCAAAGGGGAGGGGAAGGAGCATTGAGGGGCATTATGATTGGCACTCATGGTGTCGTGGGGGGGCACAGAGAAGACAAGCAGTGACTCTGTGGCATCTTACTACACTGATGGGCAGTGACTGCGGTGGGGTGTGTGTGGGGGACTGGATAATATGGGCGAATGCAGTAACCACAATGCTTTTCATGTGAAACCTTCATAAGAGTGTATATCAATGATACCTTAATAAAGTAAATAAATAAATAAATAAGTAAAATAAAACAAGGCACAAGACGCAGCATCAGAGCAGCAGCACCACAAGGGAGGTGGGTGGTGCTGGGGTACAACCCCAGTAAAGGGGCGCCTCCCCTGTGCTCATCAGGTGACTCTGCTTACCTTTTGCTTCTTTCTTCTTTTTCTTTCCTGGTAACTTCCGCGGCCCGGGGCCCGAGGCCTGTGGCCGCTCCTTGGCCTGCCGCCCCTGTCTGCCCGTCTCCCCCTGCGGCCTCTCGGGATGCAGAGCCTTCAGATGCGGTGGGGCCCGGCCTCCCTGCTCCCCAGGGGGGCGCTCCGCCTGGGTGGGGCCGGGGGCCCTCTTGCTCAGGGTTATGAACCTCTCCCTCCCCTCTCCGGCGCTGTCATGCCTCAGCCCGAGCTCTTCCGCTATCCGGTGGACCCACAGCCTGTCGCAGGAGTTCAGGGAAGGAGGAAACTCCAACTGCATTTTCTCGCTTGCCACGAACTCCACTATCTCAGCCCTGAAACGGTCTGCATACTCCCTGCTCTCCGCTCCCCCTGGGCTGCTGCCACTGAGGGTCGGCTGTGAACCCGCCTCAGAGCCCAAAGGCTTCCTGCCTGGCGTCTTCCGCTCCAGCTGGGCAGCGGCTCTGGCCTTCTGGGCTCCTTCAGGGGGCCTGCTTCCGGGAGGCCTCCTGGCCGACGCAGCAGAGCCTGGGTGCTTCGTGCCTGCTTGGCTGTGGCCCTGGGAGCTCTCATGGGAATAGTTATCGGGGACAATGTCATCAAGATACTCAAAGGCCGTGCGCACTTCCCCGTGCTCCGAGAAGTAACCCACCAGGGTCCTCAAGAAGGCATGGCTGTTGGCAGTGCGAGTATCGCAGATGACTGCCACGTGGCGCCGGGCACGGGTGATGGCGACGTTGATCCGCCGGTCCTCAGCAAGGAAACCAACCTCACCTAAAAACGATCCAGGCGTGAGTGGAGGAACAGGTCCAGTGTTAGGAACAGGAAGTCAGGTGCCCCAACAGGGGTCACCTGGAAAGGGCCACCCCCCCACACACACACCTGCACCTTTCGCCCTCTGAGCCTCCACCCCAACACCGCTGCCCGATTCTCTGCACTAAGGCCCTGTCGTGATGTCCTATCCACTCAGCAGCATGCCTGGGCTCCAAGTACCTGATTTGAATTCAACAGCTACCAGACTCAATCATTTCCAAGCATAAACACCTTCTCCCTAGGCCCAGACCTGGGAGCCGGCCCGGGTGGGGGGGCGGCTGTAGTCGATGACACAAGGGACAGCCCACTGTCTTCCTCTCCCCACCATCTGATTTCAACCTTCTACTGAAATGCTTTCTGAACCCAAGAATTAAACACTGTTTGTGGGTACAGTACTCCTACCAAATGGGATCCCCACAAGCCCTGGCAGCATAAAAATCTGGCCCATGCTCTGAGGCCAAAATTCACCTTGAGGCCAATAGATAAGCTCTGGGCTTTAGGCAGGGTGTCCAGGCCTCCCCAGCCTATCCTGGACTCCCAGCCACCTCCCCAACCACACACTGGGCCTCTAAGCCTCAGCTCTCCGTTCCCTCTGCTTGCAACACCTTTCCTTGGCCCCCCCCACCCCCACCACCAGCCATCCTTCCACGCTGAGGCCGGCACCGACCTCCAAGCAGGGTCCGGCTCGACCTCCCCACAGCCAGCTCACACCTGGTCTCTCTCGCTGGACGGTGAGCTTACGGAGAACAGTCTGCACTCCCTCAGCACCCACCAGCGACAAGCACAGCCCCGAGCAGGAATCTAGCATGGCCTCTGAACAAGTGACGCCGCCCTGTGCATCCCCAGAGGACGCACCTTTCCTATTGGATCTGACGAAGGACAGTATCACAGCCTCCTTCTCTCGGCCTTGGAAACCATCGACCGACTTAATCTCCAGCTCAGGGTATGTGTGGGCGAGGCTCTGCCTGAGCAGGTCCACCTGGAACATGAGCAAGACCGCAGCCCCATCACAGCCCGGCCAGGGCAGCCTCGATGCCGCCTCCGCGCAGCACAGCGCTTCGGGGAAGCCCTGCAGGAGCCTCATGGGAATGGCTCCACCACCTTCTCACAGGCATTCAAGTGAAGAGGCGGGAGACCACGGACAGGCCGATGTGTCCTTGCACCCCAGTGCTGACATTTCACCATTTCTTCCGGCTCATGACAGCCACCCGCCTCAGACACCCGACGTGTGATGCCTGTAAACAAGGGCTGGCGACCCAGCCTCCAACCTCACGATCCTCTCAGGAGGGTCTGTTCACCCTACCAACCAAGGCAGGCTTCGCTTCACAAGCCCACAAGCCCTAAGAGAAAATGTGAGAGAACCCAAGGAGAAGGGGACAGGCGCCCGCTTCTGCGGCCCACCACCCACACTTCCCCAGGCAGCAGCCAGCAGCCCACATTTTCAGGGCATTGCCCCCTCCCATGCTCAGTCCTGCTGGGTACACAAAGCTGTGCCGGCCTGACCCTGGGGACGGGCAAGGACGCCAGCTCCAGGCCACAGCCACCAGCTCAGGGATGGGGACAACCTGAGCCAGACCACCAAGGTCGAAGCCCAGACTCTCACGGGAGACGCGGCAAGAGGACAGGCCGCTGCCCAGGGAATGTCCCGGAAAGGGACGCCAGCCTGCAGTCCCCAGGGTCCCCAGGGAGCTGGCCAGGAAACGAAGCCACTCGGAGAGGCAGAACGGGCGGAGGCACGCCAGGGGCCCTGCGGCCATCCCGAGCCTGGGGGTGGCAGTGAGGCGATCAGCTCCTCTCCGGACGGTTCAGTCACAAAAGCCAGTGAACTGCCCTCTTTCAGCCTCTTTAGGGGGGCAGAGTCCCAGCACACCTGCAGGTTGTACGGCGTGATGACGGCGATGTCGCCGGCTCGGACTCCAGCGTCCACCAGAGCCCGGACGTGCAGGCTGACGAGGCGCACCTCACCTGCAGGGAGGAAGGCGGGCATCAGTGCGGGGATGCTCCCGGCGGACTTTGTTCACGAGCACCTTTTCCTTAAGCGCTCCTGTGTCTCCTACAGTAAGCTGAGCTCCCGTCATGCCTGACGCGTGTCACGGGAGCTAAAAACCGGTCGGCAGGCGGCCATACTCAGCAAGGGAAGAAGCAGGGTGCCCAGCCGGACTCGCGCCTCTGTGAGCAGGGGCCACTCCTTTAGTCTCAGGATGGCCGTGTGTCCTCTGCTTAATGGGCAGCCGCCAGAGCACCCGGCAGACGGGCACTGAGCCCCACCTTCTGGAGAGTCTGGCCCAAAGCCCCCCGCTTGCCAGCAGCCTGCTCTCCGGTCCTCTCAGCTACTCAACAGGGAGGCAGCTCAGGGGGACTTGGGCTTCCACAGGCGCCCAGGACCTCACAGCAAAGAGTGGCCCCACCCGGCAAGCTCACCAGGGTTCCCTTTAGACTGGTCGTCCTCCTCTTCAAGTTCAAACAGCCCACAACCGGCCGTGTCCACGAGCAGCAGGGGCAGGCCCGTCTCCCCCGTGGCAGCCACTCCTGGGAGATCCCTGCACGCAGGCAGGGCCCGATCAATAAAGCAGCACCCAGGTCCCAAACAGAACCCACCCGGCCCTCCACTTCCACAGGAAACAGGCGCCCCCCACCAGGAGCCTGGGAGCATGGTGGACATCAGAGACTGGGGCGCCAATCAGCGCTCCAGGGCAAGGCTGCTCTTCCTTCCAGAAAACCGGTCTCTGAGGCGGATTTTGCTCTGAAACCTTTTCAGAACATGGTTCATGCAACACAGGGGCTCAGGGCCGAAGGATGGGGCAGGGGAGGCAGGTGGGGGTACCCAGTCACTCACCGCAGGAGGTGCCCAGCCACGGAAGGGTGTGCGGTGAGCCGCCCGTGGTACAGGGCCTCTGAAGCCCACTGCATGATGGCCCTGTGCATGCGGTACTGCACGGTCAGCGTCTGCACCACCCCCTCACCGCACTCCTTGGCCAGGCGCTCCATCAGGCTGAGCGACAGCCCGGCCAGCGCAGCCCTGCACCCGGGAGAGGAAGCGGCAATGAGGACCAGTCCACGAGCCCAGCGCAGACCAGAGGCCAGGGAGGAGAGCAGTCCTCGGACCACAGAATCCCACTCACGCCCCAGGTTATGACCTAAAAGTAAAGGTGTGGCTGGCTGAACAGGGACCCCCAAAGTCGCCCACATCCTAATCCCGGGACCCTGCAGATGCAATGCAGGATCCTGAGGTGGGAGGTGCGCCTGGACAACCCGGGGACCCAGCACCACCACGGGGCCCTGGGACGAGGGAAGCAGGGGGTAAGAGAGCCGAGAGAGAGAAGCGAACACACCGCACTGCCAGCTCTCGGGTAGAGGACGGCCGCGAGCCGAGGAGGGCGGGGGCTCCAGAGGGGATGGAGGCCAGGGCCAGACTCCCTGGAGCCTCCGCAGGAACCAGCCCTGCCCACCTTGATTTCAATTCACTCTGATTTTGGACTTCTGACTCCCAGGACTGTAAGTCACTAGACCTGTGCTGTTTATGTTTGTGGTGAGTCGCTCCGGCAACAGTAAAGTAACGCAGGCCAATCTGTAACCCCCGCACTCCAGCAGCAAGCGGCCGACTGCCCACAGCAGTAGCTGACGTTCCCAGGGCGCGCCGCCGAGCCACACCCCCTCCTCACTGAGCCTTCAGGGGCCCTGCCCAGGCAGCTGATGCTACACCTCCATGCTCCACGCGAGTGGGAGACAGAGACGAGAGGTCAGCAGCCAAGGCTGCCCAGCCGGTGGACCACACAGCCAGGGCCGAGCCAGCTGCCTGCTGGAGCCACCCCTCGCCATGCCAGCATGCCAGCATGGATGCACTTTCCAAGCTGGTAATACAAAACCCGTGGGAAAGCACCTCCCTCTGCTTCAGGGGTCCCCCCTCTGGAAACCTCCAATGTCTCTGGGATTGACCGTTTTTAATGAAGATACCTACTGAAAGCAATTAATGCTGAAGAAGCAAGAGGTGACGCAGCTACCAGTCCCAGCTGCAAACCTAGGATACCCAGCACCCGTGCATCCAGCTTTACCCCAGATCACCCTCCCCTGCCGGGGCACAACAGGGGCACCACTTCCTGAGGGTGCAGCTGCAAACCTCCACACAAAGGCTTGCTGGGGGACAAAGCCCTCTTTTAAGAACCCCCTGGGCCCCCCACTCAGAACCAGCCATGGAATACACACCCACTGAAGTGTCCATGCTGACTCCCACCCGAGGTCCCCCTCCTGCCTCTGTTCACCCCACACCTCCCCCCAAATCCTCACTGTGAAGAACCCTCTGTGCGTCTTCCTCTGAGGGACACTGGCCTAACACCCCTCCCCCCAGGGCCCCTGCTCCCCTTTGGGAGGTTCCGCCTGGCAGACCTTCCCGCATTCCTCTCGCTGGTCTTGAGAGACCAACCAGAGTCCCAAGATCCCGTGACTTCTGTGCACACAGCGAGGGGCAGACAGGCCTCAAACAGAAATAGAAATAAGAGGACCCCAATCTTACTCAAGCAAAGGGCATGGATGCGGGGATCTTGAGGAGTCTCATTCATCCAGGAAGGCTTTCTGGATGTGGACTTTAGAGCCAACTTGTATCAAAGACACCCAGGTACCAGGCCTGTCCCAGGCCTCAAGTGCCTGACATTCTAGTGGGAAACACAACTGACGAACATACAACACACCACTGCCACAGAGTGGCGAGCGCTAAGAAGCCTGAGTAAGGGACCCGCAGGGCACAGGGACGCCGTTTATACAGAGTGAGCGTGGAGGCCATGAGGAGGCTCATCTGAAAGAACTGAGTGCAGGAAGGCATGGCCGCCGACATCCAGAAGGCCTGGGCCCCACAGGGCCAGCCAGGGCAGAGGAGGTGGGTGTGGCCAGAGCAGTGAGGGGCAGGAGTGGGCAGCCTGCACAGTCCAGTTTACCGAGTCACCGTTTGGGTCCCCTGCCAAGGGATCTGCCGGCAGATGGGGACTCAGAGAATCTGCACCAGGTGGTGAGCTCGCTGGCCCAGAGGTCGGTCAGCATAGTACAGGGCAGCTTGCTCGCAGGCTGCCCCACGCAAATGGCCCCTCAACCTGCCTGCCCCTTAGGCGAGTCTCAGTTCCATGAACGCGGTGTCAGGTTCTGAAAGCGGGACGACCCCTGGCGTCAGGCAACGCAGTGTAATCAACCTGCCCTCTACGCAAGGATGAGCAGCAGATGGGGAGCAGCTGTGACCAGGACTGTGCAGAACAGGGCATCGCCAGGGCCCTCTGGTGAGCTGAGAGCTCTGGGCTGGACTTCAAAGCCAGACTGACGAACAGGGCGGCAGGTGCAGGCACTGGAAGCCACTTGATGGGGGGACTTACTTGTGAGAGACTGTGGTGGGGGGCAGCTGTTTGTGATCTCCAGCCAGGATGCACTTTCGGGCCCTCAGCAGGGGGATCCAGCAGCTAGCTTCGAGGGCCTGGGCACACTCGTCGATGACCACCACATCGAAGTGGCTGTCAGGGAGCAACTTCAGAGGGCCGTCAGAAGAAGCACCTGGTGGGAATCAGAACCCTGACCTTTACAGCAGGCGCGGGCTGTGTCACTGCAATCACAGCCGAGACGCGCAGCAAGCCGCCTGTCCACCAGGCCGACCCGCGGAACACGGCGTGATGAACTTGCAGGAATGGAGACTAGGGAGGGCCATCAACGCTCTCGTGGCTCCAGCACACCTGTGTTCAAGTGCAAAGTGGTGTGTCCAGCCAGGGGCTATCTAGAATTTCAATCACCAAAATCAGTCACTCCCTCGGGGCTAGGGCCCCAAGTCATCGCAAGGCTGTATTAGCTTTGAATTTTCTTTATGTATCATTTTGATTAGAATCCAATTATTCTCCTCTAAGGTAGTATATCCTCGGACATACAGAACAATCAGGCACCCAGCCCTGCTCCGCACAGATGTCCCTGGGGCCTTGAAAAGCTCCAGCGTGTTCCCGGGACTCTGGAAGGCCGCACCCACGGCACTGGGCTCTGGGCTCAGGAGGGACGCCAGGCGGCCCTAAGCACCACCTCTGGCTCACGGTGAGACTCTGGGCCCGCGGGTGAAGGTGCACGGCTGAGCCCTGAATGCCCCACCACACGCAGAGCCCAGTTACGACTGGAGGTTCCAACACCTTCCTCCAGTAAGTGACAGAACAGGTCGAAGGAAATCAGTAAGGACCCAGTAGACCTGACCGACGCCATCACCGACAGGACATCGCCGGGACAGAGCAGAACCGGGAACACGGTCTTTTCAAGTACATGGGGAATAGTTTCAAAGACAGATCAAACTCTGGACCATAAAGTAAGTCTCACTGAAATGATCCAACTCAGTATGTCATCTGACCACATGAAATTAATGACAGGAAGATATCTAAGATCTCCAACTATTTGGAAAGAAAATAACACACTTCTAAATCGTCACGGGCCAAAAAAGAAATGAAAAGGGAAATTAGACAGTATTTCACAATGACAAAATGAAAACACAGCATATTAGAATTTGAAGGATGCCACAGAAGCAGTGCTTAGGGGGACATGTGTGGCACTGAGTGCCCGAATCAAGACAGGTCTCAGATCACCATGAACCAATGACTTCAGCTCCCACCCAGGACACTAGAAGCACAAACTAAACCCAAGTGGGGGAGCTAAGGAGGCTCACTGCAGAAATCAGTGACGTCAAGAGCAAAAAAACGGCAGAGTACACCAGTGAGACCAAAGCCAGCTCTCTGGAAACATCGATGAGGCCCATGAGCCTCCAGCCAAGAGATCAAGGGAGAGAGGAGGGACCGACATCAGCAATGAGAAGAGGCGACATTGTCAGACACTACAGATATTTTTTTAAATAATAAAGGAATGTTATGAACAACTTTCTTATTCTAAATTCAACAGTTTAGATCAAGTAGACAAATTCCTCAAAAGACGTAAGCTCACACAGGAAGAGCCTGAATATCCCTGCCTGGATTAAAGAAACCGAATCGGCAGACAAGACTCCTTACGAAGAAAACCCCAGGCCCAGAAGGCTTCACTGCGGGAAGCCACCCACACGTAAGGACAATTCCACATAAACTCCTCCAGCCACCGGGAGCAGGGGTGCCACCGGCCCTGTGGGGAGGCCGGGCGGGCTGGGGAGGCTGGGCCCGTGGGGAGGCCGGGCAGGCTGGCGAGGCCAGGCCTGTGGGGAGGCTGGACCCCCTCACCTGCGTTCGTCGCCAGGACCACGTCCGCGGCCCGAAGGCTCTCCAGAAGGGCGGCTTCTTCCCTCTCCTTCAGCTCTTTTCTTAACAGCTTGATTTCATTTCGAAAATTACTTTTCTCCCTCTTATCCTGGATCTTTCTGGTTTTCATCTATAAAGGAAAGCACAGAAAACAATTATTTTCACACAACTTTGCACTTACTCGGCTCTCGTTCATTCACGAAGTGCTTTTGTTTACCATCAGCTGACCCACCTCAGTCAGTTCCTTCAAAGGCACTAACAAGTCAGAAATCTTTCTTGAAGGAAGAACAGATGGCGGCCACAGGACCAAGCACCTGACACCCTGCCTAGCCTCAGAGCCACGGCCACCCGGAAAGGGAGCAGCAGAAAGGGACGTCCGCGTCCTCAAAGCAGACGGTGCTGTGAGGTCTAAATCCGCGAGACGAGGATGGACCTCAGCCCTGCCCGGCGGTCGGTGACAGGCTCAGGGAAGGACCAGCACCTACTCGTGCCAGGCTTTGAGTCTCAGTAGCTCATAGATGGAGAGGTTTTGACAATTCTCCACAATTGTCAATTGTCAAGAGATTAAAAAATTTTCTCCAGCCCAGAAAATGCCAGCTTGCTTTACTATTCAAAGACACGGGACCCTTCCTCATTTGTGATTTCTGCTTTGGAGGGTGGGATTTTGGCAGGGGCGAGGGGAGAAATGTTTGTGCCTAACTCACAGAGAAGAAAATCCTGAAACACACTGATGGAAACAGGACCGAGAAAACGAAATCATCTACACTGTGATGGAGGAAATAACATCGCTGCACAGTCCCATACTGCCTTTAACCCGGGGTGCCATGCGTTCACCACGTCCCCGCCTGCCATTCCCACACTGGCGTCCCGTGTGCCATCCTGCCATCCTACAGGCCCAGGGAAAGGCCGACTCACAGAACCAGCCCTGCACGGCCATGAGGCCAGCTGACGGTGAAAGAACACAGGGCAGGGTGTGCGACTGTGGACATTGGGACCCACGCGCAGAGAAGCCAGTGCTGGAAAGTACTGGACTGCCAGGGAAAGGCCAGCTCTTGGAGACAGCTGAGTCTCTGCTAAATGAGGACCACAGGCCTCTATCAGAAATGGGTGGTCCTTTATCTTCTCCATAAAAATGGAAAAAGAAAAAACAAACAAAAATGGGTGGGCCTGATATATGAAATTCTTAAATGAATTGATGGAGGCCAGAGAAAAGCAAGACACAAACAAAGGGAAACGGCTCTTTGAAAAGGCTGCAGATGAGGAAACCACAGAATGGACGCCAGCAGACAGATACGTACAAACACCTGATCGATGTCCCTTCTGATGTCTGTGACAATCTGGGCGCTGTCACTCCGCGCCAAGACCGCATCGAGGGAATGCTGCTGAATGGACTCCAGCAGTCGGGCAGGGTGGCCAAGGCGTAGGATCCTCAGCGTGCCCTGAGCCAGACGCTCGACCAGGTTATCCACGGCGATGTTAGAGGGCGCACAGCACAGAACCTGGGGAGACAAAGCTCTCATTCGGGCTTGGTGATTTCCTATTTAATGAAACCACTGAAGTTCACGCTAAAACACACAGAAAGCCTTTGCAGTAAAGGGAGAAGGGCAGAGAATACACTAGGGTTAAGCACACAGCTTCAAGGATGGGTAAAGACAGTCAAACGATGCATCTTGCGGCAAACTGATATGATATCCGGGTAACTGCAACACAAGACTTAGAACCTGTTAAGTCTCCAAAGCACCAGAAATGTTAAATAACTTGCAACTTGGAAAAAAAGGACTCAAAGATTAATGCCTGCTTGAAATAATCAAGCCTGGAGCATCAAGCTTATCACCAATCAAATCACTGTATCACCTGACAAAGGGAGCAAGGGAACACCTTGTCTCCAGAACTGCAGTCCCACCCACCATCAGAAGCAGGTGGCAGCCTGTAGGAGGCGGCGCAGAGTCCCTGCACGTGCCAACCTCACCAACAGGAGGCCCGCGGCCCCTCCCACACCCTGGCCTTTGGCCGGGGGTTCCGCACGTGTGCATCCCGTGTAACCATTTACTGAAACGGGAAGCCAGCTGAACCATGTCTGCTTCCTGCCAGCCACCTTCCACGAGGTTTCAGACGTCTGCGCCAAGACAGTCACCTGTGGGAGACCCGGAGGCGGTCCTGTAGCTTCCGAGCAGAAGCAGTCCCCCCGCAGAGGGGCAAGGCTGAGGGCAGAGGCTCTGCGGGTGTCCGACTCTGCCACCCCCTGCCGAGGGACCAGGGCACACGACCTTGTCCATGATTTCTTCTGCAAACTAGGTCCACAAACAGCCACCCCAGGGTTTCTGCCAGGATTACACGAGTACATGGAATGTACTCAAAAGGGCACCTGGTTTGTAAAAAGCACCCAAAAATGTCAACCTACAAATGTCAAGGGTTATAATCTAATTCTTATCATACACCAGGAAGAACCTATGAGGACTCGTATTGATGCAGATGAGGAAAGAAGATCCCTTCTCTACTGTTAAAAATGGGAGTGCACGGTAACCCACAATATCACACTCCACAGCTCAGGATGTCAGCATCCACACTGCCATGTGCGCATCTCAGCAATTAGCAAGACCCCCTGATTAACCCTAACACGGGCCTCCCCCAACCAGCCGCAGGCCTCCTGAGGGGCAGACAGGCCCCGGCCAACTCCGCGCCCCCCTGCACGGGCCTGAACGCAAAGCAGGGTGCGGGGCGATGAGTTCCAGACTGGGGCCGGGCTAATGACAAAGCTTCAGGCCCGGGAGGACTAATGGAGCCTTTCTCAGGAACACAGACCCACATTTCTGCATGTCCCCAGGCTCTGTGTGGCGGTCCGAAATCGGGAAGGCCCAGCCCAATGCTCTACCAATGCTTGGGGATGGTCCTGACCAACTCCAGTCCAGGCTGGGGCCCGGCTGAGTGCCCACGAGCATGCAGACGGGAGCTGGATAGTGCCAACGGGAGACAGCGCCCACTGCCCACCTTCAGGCCCTGCTTCACAGCTTGAAGAATGATTTCAACCACTGTGGTGGTTTTCCCAGTGCCAGGAGGCCCATGGATGATGGCAAGTTCTTTCTGGGCCAGTGCAAACGAGACCGCTGCCTTCTGGGAGTCGTCCAGGGAGGTGTTATAGAACACGGGCGAGTCTGGGGGAGAATTGACAGTGTCAGGCTTTGGCTCTGCGGCCCCTTCCTCGTGGAAACACTGACGGAAACCAGTGATATACACAAGAAAGCAGCCCTCCCAGGAGCCCTCCTGTCAACCCAAAATCAATCTGCTCTGTTTTCAGATTTCTCCTAGAACAGGCATCAGCAGACCAGGGGCCTCAGGCCAAATCCAGCCGCTGCCCATTTTGGCGAGTCAAGTGTTAGGCAAGCACAGCCCAGCACCCACACACTGCCTCTGGCTGCTTGCCGCTGCACAGGCCCCCAAAGTCTGAAGTATTTCCAATATGTCCCTTTACTGAAAAGGTTTGCCAACTCGTGCTCCAGAATTAACAGATTTTTCCTGAAGTAAAATGTTCTTGAAACATTCATTTCTACCACATTGTCCCTTTTTAAGTGCCCATAAAATGACAAAAACAAGTGACAAAAAAAAACCTAGTGGCCAGTTCCAGGATTGTGTTTCTACTCGGAATCTTTCCCGACCCAGACTATTTATGTCGTGTGCTCTGCGCTCCGGGAGCAGGTACCACTGTGCCCCATCCCCACAGCACCCACCACATGGTGCCGGCTGCACAGGCGAGCCAGACACACAGGCCCAGGGCCTGGTCCAGACGGGGAGAGCAGGAACGGGCCACCTGACCCAAGTTCCAGTGAGCACCCCACTATGTACCGCCTGCCTTTCTCCTTAGACCTTAACTACAACCAGGACATACCATGTTCCTTAAAACATAGTTAATGTCTAATTCAGTTTCCAGTGTATAGAATCCTGCCAGTTAATTCTGGACAGAATAAAATATGACTATAATGTGATTGCTTTTACAATCTGAAAACATACTGCAAAGCTGCCCCGAGTTCAAGGCCAGCACCACAGAGGGTGTGTGAGCACAGATGTGACTAAAACGGGCATCAGACAAGCCCTGTGTCAGACTTGTCTGAGCTCAAAGGATACTAAGAAAATAATTAAATGCATTTACAATGGAGAGTTTTCAAACCAAAAAAGCTAGCGAGCAAAAATTATGGTCAGTTACCCTCCATTTTCACAGAGCACTGAGCTACAGGAAACATGTTTATATTCCAAAATAAAATACTCAGATTTATTAGAAAGAACATTGTAAAAAGAACCAATGGGATGAGCTACTGCTGTGACAGTGAGTAGAGGAAGGCGTCTGGTTCGCGCAGGTCATTCTGAGAGAATCATGAACAGCTAATAAGGAAGGTTTCTTCTAACTATACGGTCTTCAACTCTTGCTGGAATGGCCCCAAATCACACTGTTCTCAATACTTTCCATAGTGATTTCAACCAGAAAATAAAAGCCAGAAGCTCTTACGTATTTCACAGGCAGGACTGGGGGCCGCTCCACCAAAAAGGACCTCGATGAGCGTGGCCGCAGGGCCGCAGTGATGCCTCCGCAGGGCGGTCAGAGCTCTGCCGCAGAAGGAGACCAGGGTGAGGGCTCGGTGGGAACGAGCAACCAGATCAGTGCTGAAGCCCCTGCGCCAGCGCGGCCACCACAGCCACGGCCGCACGGGCGGGGTGCGTGAGCCCTCCAGACCGGACGCGGTGGCTCGCTCTTGCCCAGCAGGAAAAGCAGTCAGAGTGAGTCCTGCCCAGGGAAGTTGGTACCCGTGATCTCCAGTCACACACACTTACTTTTTCAGCCGCTTATAAGTGATGTCATTGGCAAGTTTTAAGAGTCTGTAGGAAGTGTCTCGGTCCAAGCTCAGCTGGAAGTCATGGGACTCGTCAAAGGCCACCGTGACTGACTTCTGGGTGATCCGGGTCAGGATCCCAGTGGCCAGCTGAGCGCCTGCATCATACAGACCCACTATATCACCTGCAGAAACAGACTCGGTTACATAAGCACCGAGCAAAATTCAATGTGAATTATTTTATACAGTAAATTCCAGCATGTTTCACATATTGTATCTGTTACTTTCTTCACAAATGAAACTAGTAGCAGTAGAAGAATTTTTAACTAACATCCAAATCAAATTTGAAAATTGGTGCAGGATTAATGAAGGGTTTAAAATAAACATGACAGCCCACAAAATACTTAACATGCCTACTCTGAGCCAGGCACTGCGCTAGGCACTGGCCTGACCAGGAGTGAAGCACAGTCCCGGCCCTCGCAGTCGCGGGGAGAGGAACAGACACCACCATCGATCAGTGATCAGGAGAGACCAGGCCCGGGGAAGGGGTGGGGGGGCAGGGATGCCACTTGAGGACGAGGGTGTGGTAAGGGCCTGAGTAGTGACAGGTAAGCACAGCTGGGGGAGAACATTCCAGGCAGAAATGGAGCTTCACTGAGGGAGGGACAGAGGTTGTCTGCTGCCCATTCATTTCCCTGCTTCCTGGTAACTGCTGGGGGATTCACCATCCGCCAGGTGAGTCTGGGGGCCTCCCTTGACACCAGAACCAAGCACAGGAGCCAGGCCTGCCAATCAGTGCTTCACAAGCCCCTGGCCACAGTGACTGTTCAGGGATTGGCATGGGACCAAATCAGAGCCCCTGAGATAGACAGACTTCTGCGTGGACACCCGGGCAGGAGGATCCCCCCTCTTTCCAACTAGACCAGAAACTCAAGAGGGTAAGGACTAGACCTGCTACCACGTGGCGCCTGAGAAGGAAGCCACCCAGAAGAGGGCAAGGCCAAAAGGAGAGAAACTAAGCCCACACACCTCCCGTGAGCCCGCAAGCTGGCCTCCAGCCACCCCTGCTGCAAGCCTTGCCCGGCCAGTTTGGCTTGGGTTTCAACACCTGCAACATACAACTCTGACCAAGAGAGATGAAGCCAGGGCTGCCACATGCCTACAGCCCATTCACTCCGCGGCTGGAAGCAAGGGCCACACACTCGCCAGCACCAGGCGTAACTCTAGCCCACGTCCAACCCTCTAGGCAATGAGCAGCACCTGCCCCCAGTCTTTCCCGTCTCCTGCCCCACCTGACTGCAGACAGAGCCGAAGGCGGCAGTGCTCCTGGGGCGGAGGTCTGCCTCTGCACCAAGGACCTCATCCCTACACCAACTTCAGGGAATAAGAGCCCACATTTCAGAACTTACATCTGAGCTACTGGCCTTAAAATAGCTCCTCAGAAGATGAAAAAATAACAACTCCACCTGAATTTGATAGAAAGCTGTTAACAACATATCAGGTTTTCAGCTGACAGTTTTCCACATAAAATGCCACTACCTCCCCCTTTCTGTTTCTCAACCATACAACAATCCCTTAGGTCATGTGCTTACCGACTAAGCGTGTCTTTTTACCTTTGGTTTTGAGTTTACAAACCTTCTGCACATTCAACCCTGTTGCTTAATCCTGACAACACTGCAGTGACGCTCTCCGCCCCAGCCTTCAGAGGGCAGGTAAGTGACTCACTCTATGTCATCTAACAAGAAAGGCTAAGATCTAACCCCAACTGGCAGCTTCCCTTCATCCCACCTATCTCCGAATCCAGCCGGTACTCCAGTAACTGAGAGGCAAGAGTCTAGGAAATCAAAAAACTCTGTCCCCACCAAAACAGAGCAGAGACTTTTCTCATGACAGCAGTGCAGTGGCAATTGCTCTCTCTCCAGGCATCCAGGTCTGCGGTAGGACACAAGCATCCCAGGATGTGGTCAAGAAGCTGCCTCTGACTAGCGCCTCCTTTCCAGCAGGGCTGGCACAAGACTGGGAATAGATAACTACACAAACTGCGCGTTTAGCAATCTGGACCAGGGCTGTCCAAGAGAAATATAATGACAGTTGCATGCAGTTTTATGTTTTCTAGTAGCCCTACTAAAAAGTTAAACAGAAACCAGTAACACTGATGGGCAGTGACTGCAATGGAGTATGGTGGGGGGACACGATAATATGGGTGAATGTAATAACCACACTTTCATGTGAAACCTTCATAAGAGTGTATATCAATACCTTAAAAAAAAAAAAAGAAACCAATAAGTTGACTTTAATAATAAATTTTACTTAACCCATATGTGAAAAATATTATTTCAATGTGTACTCAAAAAAATTACTTTTTAGATATTCTGAATTGTTCTGTACTAAACCTTTAAAATCTGGAGTGCATTTTACATGTGCAGCAATCACTGGCCACATGTAAACCACATGTGGCTTGTGGCTGCCATTCCAGATGGCTGATCTAGGCTACCAAAAAGCCATGTAAGTGTTACGTCCAAGGAAGATTTCTTCATTGCAATGCTTGATTCTCCAGTTGGTTGGGTGTAACTTGGTCTCTACAAGAGTAAAAGTCACAGTTTGAAGGTCAGCAATATTCAACATGTGCACAAACCAGAGGACAAGCTGTTACTGGGAAGGGTCCCTGCAGACACACATCTCCTGGGCTCAAATGTGACCAGCAGCCGTCCGTACAGCCCAGTCCGCTGGCTGGACACCTGCAGCTTCAGCAGACAGACACCTCGGCTCTGGAGTTCTTTCAGAGAGACGTTTTCCTGCCAGGACCTGGGAAACAACCAATACTGAGTTTACTTTATTTGAACTCTACCAGCTTTTACTTCCACCCGAAAAGGAGGAATGTAAAGGGGAGAGAGAAACCCAAAGACCTGTACACAGGCATTAAATATGATCCAACAAAACCCCGAATCCGCCCCCTCAAATCTGCCCCTAGTGCAGTTCTTGCCCTTGTCCCACTTACCCAAGACCGGACCGTGGGTCCCCTTCACCTTCTCTCATTCTTGCCGCCCCAGCCCTGGTTCAAGCCCACAACTGATCGTCTGGACTGAACAGAACCTCCTAGCTGCCATGCCTCTGGGCTCTCCCCGTCCAGTCCCAAAACCCAGCAGCGGCGCCCAAATGACCCTCGTGAAATACAAATCTCTTCCCCCTCCTCAGCTGCTTAACTGCTGGGGACCATGCTCTGCATGTGAATGTAACACAAGCTCCTCCCCAGGCCCTGCTCAGTGTGACCCCTGCCTTTTCGTGGGTGCTTCCTCTGCACTTGGTGCCGTGCTGAGCACCTGTCTTACAGTTAATCAGGCCACTCTCACAGCGCGCCTGTCAGGGGGGACTAACTCCATTTTACAAAATCGGTAACAAGGCTCAGAAACATAGCTGCAGTCGCACGGCGGTAAATGAAGGAGCCGGGATTCTACCAGGGTCAAAACGACAGCAAAAGCTCATAACCGCCTCCGTCACAAGCCACCCACACAAATCCTGTCCATGCGCGCAGTGCAATGTGAGTGCAAATTCTGGGGTCACACTGCCAGGCCCCAAACCCTAACCCTACCTCTGTTACCTCGGGCAAGTGACTTAACCCCTCTCCTCTTTAGGCATAAAATGAGAGAAAAAGGAAACTAACGTGCAGTTTAAAGGAATTAATTTAAGTGAAAAGCCTTGTCAGCCCTCCGTAAGTGTTCCAGCCACATGGATAACCGCGGTCGGAAACAAGCCACACGCAGGGCGCCCGGCTGCGCACGTCCGTCCCGGGAACGCTCCTGCCGCACCCGCCTGACCTCCCTCCTGCCAGCGGCGCTCGGGCACCGCACCGCCTCCTCCCCGAGGCCGCCGGGGCCGGCTGTGGCCCCCGCGGAAGGGAGCTGCTCCGCCGTGCGCACCCCGCTGCCGACACCCGGGCCCCCGGCGACCCGCCGATCGCTCGGTCTCACCCGGGACCCGGGAGGTGCGGACACGCACAGGCCGGCGGAACAGGGAACGGCCCGGGCCGCACTGGGGGCCGCACTGGGGGCCGCACTGGGGCCCCTCCGGGTGTGAGTGCTGGGAGGGGGCTTCGCGGCGAGAAGGGCCCTTCCTCAGCGTCCGGGGCCAGGGCGGGCGGCCCCGGGCGGACTCCGGGCCTCCCCTGCGGGCGGCCGAGGGGCTCCTGGGCCCAGCGCCGCGGCCGGGCTCGGGCCGCAGGGCGCACCCCGCCCGAGCAGGGCAGGCCGGGCCCGAGGGCTCGCGCGGCGGCCACACCTGCGCTCCTCGACCTCCGCGTCCCTCTCGAGCTCCAGCAGGTCCAGCTGCTTGGCCACGAAGCTCTCCACGGCCGCCGAGGCCATAGCCGCAGCCGGCGCGGGCCGGAGCCGCTCAGGTCCAACGCCGCGCGGGGCGAGGTTCCCCGCCGTGCCCTGCGCGCCGACGCACGGGGATCGTGTCGCTTCCGCTTCCGGCAGAGGCGGCGGGAAGATGGCGGCGGCCGTGGTGGCCTCGGCCCTGCCCGTCGCCGTCGGGCGGCTGGTGTCCGCGTGCACCCGCGGCCTCCTAACGCCGTCGGGGCCGCGAGCGGGTGAGACTCGGGCCGCGGAGGGAGGGGGGAGGCGGGGCGAGCGGAGCTCCCCGCCGTCCGCCGCGTGCGCGTGTCCCGCCTGCAGCCTCGGTGCAGACCGTTTTTTTTTGATGCGGTGAAAATAAAACGGGCTTTAGAGTCGAGTAACCCTGGGTTCAGATCCTGGTTCCGTGGGTTAATCGCTGCGATACTGACGACAGCTCTTCCACTTCCTTATAGACCCCGTGTTACTGGGGGAGCAAACAGGCTCACAGAGGTTAGGTAACTTGCCCGGGGTCGCACAGCGCGGGTCAGCTTGGGGGCCCCTCGAGCGCCGCTGGCACCTGACTCATTGGGGTGCATGTACTCACCGGGAGCCCTGGATGAGACGAGGCCTAAGGGCTGAGCCTCAGACACGCCAGTATGGTAGGGGAGGGGAAAAACCAGCCAAGATCAAGAATTGGGAACACCTGCTAGTGGATGAGCTTTATAAAGGTGAATTTTATGGTATATAAATCATAGCACAATTTTTACAAAAAACAGTAGATGCAGGAGATATTTTACAAAACTCAACATCCATTCATAATAAAAATCCTTAGAAAATAAATACAGAGGCAACTTTAGTAACCTGATAAAGGACATATTCAAAAATAAAAAATACCGAGAGTGGTTATGGAGAGGTCTGCCTCTGCTTTGCACCTAAGCACTGTGCGCTTGATTTCTGAGCCACTCACTCCTCAGAGTGCAGTAGCCCCTTGGCGTATTAGCTATCTACTGCCGTGTAACAAATTACCCCAATACTTAGCAGCAAGGTAACTAACATTTATGACCTCACACCATTTCTGACGGTCAGGAATGCAGAAGCATCTCAGCTGGGCGGTCAGGCCCCAGTCTCTCCTTCTATTGCAGTCAGACCGTCAGCTGGCGCTGGGGAATCTGCTTCGAGCCCAGTTCCCTGGCTTTTGGCAGGAGGCCTCAGTTCCTGCCCACACAGGCCTTCCCATAGGGTCATTCACAACATAGCAACCAGGTATTGTAGCCAGAGATGAAAGAGAGAGAATGTCCAGGTGCAGCAGTCTTATATAACTCACTCTTGGAAGTGCTTTACCAGCACTCCCGCCTCATGCTCCTGGTCACAGAAACCAACTCCATTTGGGAGGGACCGCATAGATGAACGTCCCAGGAGGTGGGTTCTTCGGGCCGTCTGGGAGGCTGCTCCCCTAATCGGGCAGAACAGGCTCTGAACCTACTGGGCACTTGGTGGTCAAGGGATGGTTTAGTGGGTGAGCAGTTGTGGTTTTAGGCCCTTTTAGATGGTGTGATAAACACATCTTGACACACACAACCAGTAACTATAAGTGATTTTTTTTCATTTTGTTGACTCAGATTTTCCTGTAGACAAGTTACGATACAGTGGTTTCAGTCAGACCCCAGTAACAGCAGATGGGCACGTAGCGTCCTGGAGGGAAGTTGACTGCATATTAATAACAATCTGTGTTTTCTTACACCCTCAGCTTCCCTGTGGCCTGCTTCTCGAAGGTTCAGTTCACAGAGCACTTCATTTCCACAAAGGTAATATCAAAATATGGGTTTTAGTAACTCTTTTCCTTTCATTTGTAGGACTGTATAGAGTCAAAACTGTGTATATTTGGATTTTCAAGAATATTTAAATTTTCTCAACTCTTTTGACTGTTTTTCTTAGACCCTTGATGTAAATATAGACAAGTCCAAAGACAAAGTTGTTCCTAGGCCTTACATAGCTGTATCTTATGTACTATTAAGAAAGAGCTTAAATCTCCAAATTACAGATTTTTAAATGGGAAAGTTGAATCACAGGAAGGTGGTATCAGAATCTTTGGGAGGAATGTATATAATTTAAAAGAGCATATTCAGTGTTAAAATACCACATTTAGAAAAAGCTTTTAAATTAACATACTACAGAAAGTAACTTTGACAGTAGAAATACTAAGGAGCAATACAGGGTATAGTTATGGAGAGGAACCCCCATTCCTCCCCCGCCCTTCATCCCCAGGTCCTGTCCCTGCAGCCTGGGGACCTTGAGCAAGATAGTCCACTCTCTGACCTATTCCTCTTCTGCAAAACAGAAGTAACATTGGGGTCCATGTCGATGGAGTTCTGTGAGAACGGAGCAAATTTCTACATTCAAAGGGCTTAGAACAGTGCCTGGCAGACAGCAAGCTTTGCTAGACCATCTCTGCCCCAGATGTCCGCAGAAGGGGGCAGATTCAGGGGTCCTTTTGATTCTCAGAAGAAGTTGAAAAACTGAATCAGGACATCAGGAGAAAACCCAAGTGGGCATTTTTGTTAATTTGGCTCTTTTTTTTCTTATTTCCTCTGTGAGAGGTTACTCCCTGCCCACTGGGTTCCAGGTTATGCTCCTGCGGTCTTCAGCTGGGTTCCGCCAGACCCCGCTAAGAGGCCAGAGGACTCAGGGTCAGACTGTGCTCTGCGGGGGTGGGGAACGGTGCCTGCCGGCCCCAGAGGCCCTACCCGACCACAGGGCCGGAGTTCATGTTTCTAGGTGCTCTGAGATTAGTGCAGTGGGAAAGCTCACAGTCATTTTTTGGCCAGTTGACACCAAAGCAGCCAGGTAGCTTCCACATGGGGAGAGTTCATTCTGCAGCACCTGCCGAGTGCCGGCGTCAGGAGGCCTGGGCCCTGGTGTGGGTGGAAACAGGCAGAGCAACTTTTCCCCCCTGCAGCTGGAGTAAAAAGACTGTCATTTCACTTTCTGGGAACAAACAGCAACAGAAGGTCTAAAGCAGCTCTGAGTATTCCGTTTGGGCTCCACCAGCCTCTTCCCTCTTTATAAATGTCAGGAATTCAAGGAAAATAGATCAGGAAACTAGGAAGACCCCCCTCCTTTTGTGTGCAGGCCCCCTTCTTCCTTGGCCCCTCTGCTCCCTGCACCCACTCACCTACTACACCGTGCAGGTCAGGGGCCCAGCGCCAGGTGACCACAGCACGGGACAGACCGGGGGCAGCGAGCCACTGCTCCGGGCACTGAGCGCTGACTGCATCCACTCTGCTGCCCTGCCGGCACGTGCTCCCCGCTGATCCCGCATGCCTGGGAGGCAGGTGTTCTGACCCCCACCTTCTCAGTGACAGGAACCGGTGACAGAGTACTTAGCTCCTGGTCAAGGTCATGTTTCTCCTCAGTGCAGAGCTGGGGTTCAGACCCAGGCCCACCTGGCTTCCATCCAGGTACCTACCTGGTAGCAGTTAGATTGGGGCCAGCTGGGTTGAGGAGGCACAAGGGAAGTGGCCCCCACTGAGCAAGCTGGAGGGGAGGTGACTGGGGCCTTCAGGGCCCTTGGATGCCAGGCAGAGGCATAGGAGCTGAGCTGGGGGTGGGGACAGCTTCTTGCCCTCCTGTCCAGCGTTATGGGGTAAGTAGCAAGAAGGGTGGGGCATTGAGGCCCAGCCTCTGAGAGAGAGTGTGCCCTGAGGACCCCCAGAGGGCCAGCCTTCCAGGGGGCCACCGCTCGGGACCCAGAGAATTATTCCAAGGAGGGCTCTTCTGGAATGAAATGCTTAGAATTCCTGCCTTGATTACTGAATGAGTGACCGTCATTCCTTGACGTACATGGCCCTTCTGACAAGACCTGTGAGGCCTGTCCTTGGGATTACACCAAAGGGCGGGGTCTGCACTAAGGAGTCAATGACCCACAGCAGCGGTCACTGGCATCCCCTCCTAGTATCCGGTCCAATTAGAACATGCGAGTCCAGCTCACTTTGCTGCAGGGGTAGCCCCGCGGCCAGTGTCAGGAGCTTCCGAGTCATGAGTCAGGACATGGCTCATCCCCCTGCGTCCAGCGTTCAGAGCACAGCCATTTCTTAGAGGTTTTGAGCTGCCTTTTCACATGTGACGTGCATGTGTAAAATACGTTTTACAGATACGTTCCTAAGACATCGCTGAGTTCACCACCTTGGCCAGAAATTGTTCTGCCAGACCCAGTTGAGGAGACCAGACACCACGCAGGTAACAGACAGAAACAAGAGGGCATTGCCCTCTCTTCCCACCACAGACGTGTTTACCTGACCGCAGAACAAGGGGTTCACACTCTAGGTGCTCTGAGATGTCACAGTTGAACTCTAAGGTTCATTTTTTTCCACTTCACACCCCAAATGTAAAACCCTTATTCATTTAGCAAACACTTCTTGAGCACCAGCCGTGGTCAAGGCAGGTGCTAAGGGAAGGAGGGCCTCAGTCTGTCTCTGTCTGCCCACTGTTGGTGAGCTCGCTTGGATTTCTGTATGCATGGTGATCGGTGGGAACCGGTACTGCCCTGCAGGCTGGAGAAACGGGGTCCCAGGGAGCATGTCAACCTAGAGTGCCTGTCAGGAGGAACGGTGTGACTGGCCACCACAGCCACTGTTGACCTGAAGGAGCACAGGATCCTCAGTTCTCTCAAAAAAGCTGAAATCCAGATTCATGTGAATCTTCTAGTTTTAAAATACTGTTCCAGATGCTGTGCAAGATAAACGAAGGGCCCCACCCTCTCGGCCAGATGCACCCTCTGTTCTTGACTCTGTTCCAGGGCAAGAGCTTTGTGGGGTTCCTCTCCATGCACCCAGCCTTAGGCGAGGCTGGCTGGGTCGGGGCCCAGTAGACACCTGTTCAGACAATACATGGGGCTGGGTCACAGGGGCCGTGCGACCTGAGTTGAGGCAGTGAGGCCAGGGGCCATGTGAACCGCAGTGAGCAGGCAGAGCCCAGCACCATGGGGTGGAATTCTTGTTCCTTGTTGGCAAAAAGGCCTCTCCTCTCCCTTTGCCAGGCCTCTGGCTCTTTATGAATGACAACTGGGAAGCAAACAGAGTGGGGTTTCCCAGTCCAGAGTTAGAAAAACAGGGACAGGCACGCTGAGGCCCGGGGATCACGGCAGCAGCGGGCATTCTGTGAAGTCTGGGGAACTTCGTCTGTATAAGCGCCACCTGCCCCAGTCCCCACGCTCCTGGGAACAGCGGACTGACCCTACCCGCAGGTGTCCGTGCCCGCGGTGGGGAGGGCGAGGGCATGGCCAGTAAGCTCTCCTCAGGGGAGTTGCCAGCTGTCAGGCCCACCCTGCTGCCGCTCCACGGAAGCTCCATGTCACGCTGCCATGGGACAGCAGAGTGGGGGCGTGGCTTTGTGTAATAAAGGCACCCAGGCCTTCGTCGGGGGTGTAGCTGCTGCCTTTCTGGTTGTGGGTGGCTGACCGGCCCGGCCACCACCCCCCCACCTCTCTCCCCACAGAGGTCGTGGGGAAGGTGAACGAGCTGATTGCCGCAGGCCAGTACGGCAGGCTCTTTGCTGTGGTGCACTTTGCCAGCCACCAGTGGAAGGTGACCTCTGAGGACCTGATTTTAATTGAAAATGAACTCGACATTGCGTGTGGGGAGAGGATTCGGCTAGAGAAGGTGAGACTGCAGTTTCTTTATGCATCTGGGGGCTCAGTCACCGAACTCACGTGCCTGCTCCCACGATCATCACTGGGGAGGTTTCCTCAAGTTGCGAGGTGAGGCTGAGCAAAGCCAAGGGGCAGGAAAGTGAGAGAGTGGCACCTTGTCCAGGCTCGGGCAGGCAGGCCTTGCAGGCACCCAGGGCCAAGGAAGGTGGGCAGAGCAGGCCGCTGCTCCTCAGTGTGGCTGGCCCAGTACACTTGTCCTTCCCGGGAACAGGTCAGCTCATCTCTAAGGAGAACCGTGGCCGGTGGCTTGACTCCCGTCTCACTGACATATTCCCGCAGGAAAGTGTGTGGCCACAGGTGGAATGGGCGTCCCAGCGAAGGTACAGGGGACACTCAGCTCTGGCTGGAGCACTGCCCCGGCGCTGGGCATGGCAGCTGGGCTGCCCCTAAACAGCAAGGGCTGGTTTAGAGGCATCTCCCCGGGTACAGATCAGTCTTCCTGACCCTTCTAAACCGCTCCGTCTGTGCAGTTAGCCTCGGCGGTTCTGTGTGCTGTGTTCGGGGGATCTATTTGGTTTTTGCCTATTCGGTTTATAGAACTATAGGTAAGATGTAATCTCTCTATACCAGATCACTTTCCAGGATATATTTAACCATTAATATAACATAACATGTATGGTTTTCATTGTTAATTAAAACTCCTCCTTCCTTTGTGATCGTAGAGTTTTGTGTATTTACACCAGGGAGAGCATCAAAGTGTGTCTCTGAAATGATGTTCTCCCGTCCTGTTACCTGAGCACAGCGCCTCGGGTCGGAGCGGAGCCAGTCACCTGTGCGGGGCGGTTGCCGGCGGGCCTCTCTTCTTGACCTCAGCAGAGGCTCTGCCCTGAGCTCATGAACAAGAGCCCATTACCCCTTGTCTAACATAGACTTCAGGGGTACATCTATGAAGATTTCCAGAAAGACATTGTTTTGAAATAATTTGTTTCATGTTGACAAAAACATCGCAGTGAGCACCACCCCATGCAGATCATTTTCATAACTTGGGAAGTCTAGTAATAGAGACTGTGTCACCCTGGAAGCAAAGCAGTTTTTCTATCGTCATTACCTAATGTTACAAAACAGCCTTTTCTTCAGACATTTGAGTTTAGTACAATCAGATTTTTTTCTTAGAAGTAAATTTTAATACAGTCTTCCAACTTCTGATAAAAATCCCATTGCACTTAGGCGCACAGATGTCTCCACTTAGGCCACGCGTAGCATCAGTTTCCTCTGTGCCAAAAAGGGCTCCCTGGCTGTACAAACACGCAGTCATTAAAGCACAAACCCGAACCTACATCTTTGCCATGTTAGCAGTACCGTGAACTGCTTCAAAAGATGCTTTGTGCATTTTTCCCTGTATGTTATACTTCAATTAAAAGGTTTAAAAAAAAAGTTTCCACTGGCGATGGCCACATGATCACCACGCCCCGTAACCAGGTCACACCTGTCCTGCCTCTGCACACTGAGGTTGTTTCCAGAAGGTAGCCCCAGCGCCTCCGCACACCTCCTCCGCTCGCGGCCCCAGTGTTAGAGTGTAGGGAGCAATCACTGAGAAGGCGGATCAAGCCCATATCCCGACGTCAGGTGACCAGCCCCTTTCTCGTCTTCCAGCGTGTCCGTGTGTCTACCTGGTCCAGGCACTTTCGTATTACTCACTTATAACACGACTGTTTCATTTTCCAGGTGCTGTTGGTTGGGGCTGACAACTTCACGTTACTTGGCAAGCCACTCCTTGGGTAACACATTTTTTTAACTCTCAAACCCTGGGCTTTATGTAGCCGGGCAGAGAACACCCAGACCAAACCCTTGATGCATTACTAATTCCTTACAGAATGGCCTTTTAAGATTTGCTGACAGATTACACTGTTCTTCTTTTCTTTCTTTTTTTTATTGAATTATAACCGATCCTACAATGTCATACTAGTTTCAGGTGTACACACGGCGCTTTACTATTTTTATGCATCGTGACATGGTCGCCTCCAGGGGCCCAGCCGCCGTCCGGCCCCGCCCGAGTCACTACCGCTCTGACTGACGGGCTCCCTGCGCTGCGGTCACAGCCCAGGGCTCGTTTCCTTGATAGCTGAAAGCTGTGCCCTTCATCCCCTTTACCTACTTCGCCCATCCCACCCCACCTTCTACTCTTTTCTTTATTATGGTTTCTTATAATTTTCAAATTTTCCGCAGGGAGGGCCTATTAATTTTATGATTAGTAAAAAGGAAAGTAAAAGTTCATTTTAGAAAATAACATAAAGTATCAGAAAATTTGAAAAATAAGGAATACATGATTGTTTATTTTCCTCCCTTCTAGAAAAGATCTTGTTCGAGTAGAAGCTACAGTCATAGAAAAGACAGAATCATGGCCAAAAGTCAACATGAAATTTAAGAAGAGGAAAAACTATAGGAGGAAAAAAAGTAAGTTAGAGGAAGTGTAGCGGCATCTTGTTCCTGCCCTGCTCTGACTGTCATCCCTGTGTCCTGCTGCTGGGTGGGTCACCACGGTGAGTGAACGTCCACCTCCTTCTTGGACGTGCCAGGGGACACACGCAGAACAGGCAGGCCGGTTCACGTGTCCACCCCGAGAAAGACGGGTGAGCAGGGAATGGCCCCAGCGGGACAGGGAGAGAGCTGCTTTCGGCACCAGGAGGGCATCCTGGTTGGCGTGGGGCGGTGCCGTGTCGTGGAGCCTGAAGATGCGCAGAACCCCACCCACGCTTCTGGGCGCACACGCCTGCAGGCACGGGGTGGCGGGGCATGAAGGGCGGTCACGGAATCCGCGGTGTGGTTGCCTCTGGCGGGGCTGGAGACGGGAGAGGAGAGGACTCCGAGGCGAAGGGTCTGCGGTGCTGTCGGTCTCACGCTGACCGGCCGCTCTTCAGAGGCTGCAGAATCACTGGGCTCGGAACACTGAGTTTGATCACCACGTTACCAGTAATACCTTACAGTTCCTTTACCAAAAATACACGTCAGCAATGAAGTAAAGGTGGGGGATGGCGTCGTTTGAAGGCGATTTCAGAGAAGGGGTGGTGATGAGGTGGTGAGACCCCGGGTGGGCTGGGAGCAGGGCTGGGCGGCTTGAGTACAAGGAGATGGAGAGGGGTGGGCTGGGTGTCAGGGAAGAGAGGCCAGCCGGGTCTGGGTGCTGGTGGGACGCAGCGAGGAGGGTGGGCTCCGGAGCACGGGTGGCGAGAGGCCTCACACGGGAGGCCCAGTGCCGCTCAGGTGGGGTGAAGGGGTAGCCGTGCAGCTGGGTTTAAGCAGGAGCAGGTGTCTGTCTGCTGGCTTCACGGAGATGGGCAGGAAGTAGGGTCTGCTGGGAGGGGAGATCAGAGGTCAGAGCGGTGAGGGGAGAGGTAGAAACGATGCACAGCCCGCCCTGTACACCAGAGAGGAGGCCGTGTGTCTCAGCCGGCAGGTCTGCAGGTGCAGCTCTGGACAGTGGGCAGGACCCAAGCCATGGAGGGAGGGGCTAGGGGGTGCTGCAGGGTGACTCCCTAGCAGAGGCCACCAATGTGATGAGCAGTGGGGAGCAGAGGGGCTGGGCTGTGGGCTCAGAGGCCGGTCAGTGGGAAGCGGAAGAAGCTGCATCTAGCGGCCTTTGTGCCAGCCCAGAGGCAGTGCAGGCCCCAGGGGGAGCCACCCTTGGCGGGTGGGGACAGGAAGGCAAGTGTGTCTCCTGAGGGAGGACAGGAGGTTGGGCACGGTGTGCTGGGCTCCACGCATCCAGGGTGGAGGGCAGTTGGGATGCCCCAACCAGGTCTCAGTCCAGCGGTACTGTGTGCGTGCATGCATACATACACACACGCACACACTCCCCGTCCTGGAGAACGCCTTCCCAACCGAGGCCTGATCCGAGCTCTCCCCGTTCTGCTTGACCCGCAATGTGTGACCCTTCTTGGTTCCCACCCACGGCCACCAGCATGGCCCATTTAAGCCACAAGCAGGAACAGGACCATCCCTGCAGAGCCTTGAGTCACGGCCCCTGCGAGGCTGGGACCACGCAGGCTGTAGGGTCTTGTCTCAGGATGTGTATCACTCCCAGCCCTTGGCCGCACGGTAAACGCCAGCCAAAACTGCCGCGTTGATGTTGCCTCAATATCCCTGAGATAGCAGCCGAGGCCCCACATAGAACGCAGTCGGTGGGGAGCCTCTCCGACACCCTCTGCAGCTTCCAGGTGGCCTGAGGCCAAGAGATGGGGCTGTCCACCCCGTGCAGGCCACAGGTCCCAGAGGGCATGTGGGGAGAATGGCGGGGCCGTGAAGGGCACTGCTGACCTCCAGGCCTCCGGTGTCAGGGAGTGAGGCAGCGAGGCTGCAGCACCCTCCGCAGAGTACTCCCGGCGCGTGGTGGTCAGCCGGTGCCGCCTGGGGGCTGGTTTGCGGTAGGGACCCCCGGGGCCGGCGGCAGGGTCTCTGCTCATCCGTGGGCAGGCTGTGACCGTGGTCTCTCTCTCTCCCAGTCATTGTGAGCCCGCAGACTGTCCTCCGGATCAACTCCATTGACATCGCTCCACGTTTGTGCTGATCATTGAGCTCATATTACAGAAATAAAAACAAGCTCCTCTTTTCTGAGGAGCCCAAGTTCTGTGTTCCAGTTTAAAAGCTCTGCGTGCCTGTTGGGTTGTTCCAGTCTGAGCACCACGTCTCCGAGCTTTTCCTTGTAAGCAGCTGCCTCCCTGAGCCCGGGGGCCTGGAATTCAGGAAGAATTGCAAGCATGGCCCTCCCGGGGCTGGAGCCTGCATGCTTGTATAAGAGGCACAGAGTGTTCTCGGCTGCCCTGCACCCCCACCATGGTAGGCAGGGCCAGAGGGAGCCGCTGGTCCCATGGCTTCACCAAGAGAGCTGCGATCTAGCTCCCACTTCGGGCGAGACGGGCGAGACGGGAGCACCTCCATCCACCTCGGCCATCCAGTGTGCCTTCCGATGGCCTCTGCAGAAGGCTGGGGCTCAGAGCAGGCGGTCTGGGCCCAGAGTCCCCGCTTGGTTCAGCAGTGCAGCAGGGTCACAGTGCTCGGGGGTAGAGCTCTGAACGAGGGCAGGCGTCAGGACAGGGGAGGAGGAACCACAGGGTCAGCAGGGAGTGAGCCAGGCTGCACCGGGTCCTCCGGGAACTGGCTGGGAAGCGATGGCGGCAGAGACGGAGGAGTTCGGAGCTTCATCCTCAAAGCGGTTGCCTGTCGTGGGTAAAACGGCAATATTTCTGGAATCTCTCGCCTGGCCTTAGTGTATCTCCGTGTCAATAGGTGTTTCCAAGGGGTGGAGAGAAGTAGTCCGTCTCCGTATCAATGGGTGGTTGCAGGTGGGTAGGGAGCCAGCGCACGGGGACCAGACGGCGAGGTGGGGGGGTTCTGCAGCAAGAGCCCCAGGTGGCAGAAGTAGACGAGGGCTTGTAAGGAATAAATGGGTTTCTCCCACTTTATTTCTTCCTTTGACTGATTTTGGCTCCCAAGGTTATTTGCCCCAGGCTGGGAACAGATTTCCCAGGGTTACCCCCGTCCAGGAGGGGTCTGGGCGGGTCTGTGTGGAGTGGGGCAGGCAGGCAGTGCCCTCACCTAAGGAGTGGGTGGGGAGGAGGCTGTCTCAGAAGCCCAGGCCCCAGCCCTGTGTCCGTCAGAGGCATGGCCTTCCTCCAAGAGAATAGTTAGCGTTTGCGAGCAACACAGTGAGGCCTTTGTCAAGCTACAACGAATGCTTTCTTCTGCAAGACTCCTTCAGGAGTCCCGTGCGGGTTGTCCCTGCGACGGGTAGTGAGGAAAGGAGGGTACACTGGGCCGAGACCCCCTTCTCCCTCTCCCCGCCCCCAGGCACCCAGTCCCTGTGCCCCCTAGCCCTACCCTGGGGACACTCCCTCCTGTGGCACCCTCTGTGCACAGCAGGGGGTGATGGCCTGCTAAACCTGGAGGTCCTGGGCTCAGGTTGCAGGCTGTGGTGCTGGGTGGGAGGGGCCGTGGGACCCACCCTCCAAGGCGAGTGCCCGGCTCGATGCTGCCCTCCGGGGATGTGAGAACTTCCTGCGTGGGTCACCCACACTGACTGCTCTGACAGGTAGGGCTGTGCAGTCTAGGGCCTGGCAGTCTCTCTGGGTCCTCTTGGCCAGCCTGGCACTGTCTCCTGTGGTCATTGTCCCACATGCAGATTGTCAAAGGTTCAAGGCAGGATTCACCTTACACATTGCCTGCCTCATGTACATGTGTATGCTTCAAATAGGGAGTGGATTCCGAAGTCCACTGTGGTCAGGCAGCATAGCTGAGAAGTTTGGGGGTCTGGAGCCAGACAGACCTGGGTGTGAACCCCAGGCCAGACCCAACCCGCTGTGTGTAACCTTGAGCATTACCCAGTCCTTGAGCCTTGACTTCCTTCCCGTCAAAAGGGCATGACACTAGGTCCCACCCTGGGAGTAGGCGCTCAGTCAGCGTTCGCCATGAGCATCACCTAGAAAGAGGTGGGGGGACTAGTCACGTGCCTACAAAGCATTATAGGTGTTGACCTAGTGGAAGTTTACTCCTTCCAAAACTGGACTAGGCCTTGTTCACAATACCCAAAAGACAGAAATACTTGTGTCCTTCAGCAAGACGCTGGAGCAGGAATGGTGGATGGCGGCTGCGTGCAGTGGAATATTACTCAGCCGGGAGAAGGAACGAAGTCCTGACACAACACCATGGACACACCTCGAACACATTGTGGAAAGTGAAAGAAGCCAGTCACAAAAGGACAAATACTGCACAATTCCACTTCTGCGAAATACCTAGAATTGGCAAGTTGTTAACAATAGTAGATGAGAGGTGACCAGGGGCTGGGAGCCGTGGAGGGAACGTTAAGTGCAGGATGGGGACAGATTTCTGACAGAGGTCATGAAAAAGTGTGGAAGTAGATGGAGATGGTGGCACAACACTGAATGTCACCAATGCCACTTAACTGTCACTTTAAAGTAAAGATTGTAAATTGTTACGTCTATTTTGCCACAATAAAAACAAATAGAAATGCACTAGGTTGATGACCACTGTAAAGGCAGTGAACAGATCTGATCACTATCTTTGCAGAGTAGGAATGTTCCCTCACCTACAGCTGTCCTCAGCAGGGCGTCGTGGACACCTGCAGGTGCTTGGGGTTGATGGACACCCCAGCCACACCCACCACCGGCTGGCTCCCTTCCTGGCTGCCCGCCGGGTCCACGCGGCTCTCTCCTCAGGAACACTTTGCTGCTCAGGTCAGTGTGGGCTACGTACAGTGCTGCTCAAACCCAGCCCCAACGCAGGTGGCACCCCCCGGTCCTGCCCAGCCCCCCGCACTCTGTGGCTGCCCCTCCATTTCTGCCCCAGTTTGCAGCTCTGGACTGCAGAGCTCAGCTCACCTCCCCAGGGCCACGCGTGGCCCAAGGCTGCTGCCCCAAAAACATCCCGCCAATCCCAGCATGACGAACACTAGCAGCGGCATAAGGCTCTCCGAGGAGAGCGTGAAAGGGAACAGTAGGGTGCAGGGCAGCCTGGGGACCGGGCCATCCCCACCGTCCCTCACCAGCATGCCTGCAGCTTTGGTGCGTGTCACGAGCTCAGGTGGGCGCTCGCTGTCCCGTCCCAGGGTCCCAGCTGCATCGCTGCCTGCTCCCTGTCTTCTTCCTGTCGTCAGCACATAACGCATTCATTGTCTCAGGTTTCTGGCTTCCCTCCCCCCGCATTGGGCTGCCAGCTCCAGGAGGGTGGTGTATACCCGTCATTCACGGCTGCATACCCCACACCTGCACCCTCACCTGGCCATGGCAGGCCTGCAGCCCACGCTCTTGAAATGAATGAATGTCCCCGTCAGAACCCCTGACTCCCCACTGACTGGCAACTGACCAGCAGTTGGCCCCAGTGGAGGGCTGCAGGGTTCCTCCGATGCAGGGCAGATGTCTGGACTCCCAGGCCTCACCCCAGCATCTGCAGTGTCGGGGAGGCTGGTAGCCCGGATTTGGGGGGGAGATGGGGCCCCAGGTGTCCACCGAAACCACGGGAAGACACGGCTCCAGAGGCACCAGCCGTGCAAGTGCACTGCAGCCGGGGCCCTGTGTCACCAGAGAAGGTCGCCTGGGGCCGCTCTGGCTCCTGCAGGCCCAGGGGCTCTCTATTTCCCTGTGGCCCCAGGAGCCCGGAAGTCAGGACGGCAGCCGTGGATGGCATTTCCTCCCAGCACCCAGGCTGCTTCTGCCAAGGTGGGGCACAAACCCACAGTGGCTCTGGGAGATAAGGGCAGCTCACCTGGCAGACTGGGTGCCCTGTGACTTCCTGTACGCGCAGCCAGCAGTCTGGGGGCTGCAGGACCAGGCTGCCTGATGTCCCCAAGGCATCTGGGCTTTCCTTCCTTTCCTCCTATCTCTACCAGGAGGCACCCACGGCCCTCCTCAGGAGGCCAGGCAACGATTCCAGGCCTTGGCGTGCAAAACGGAAGCAGAGGGTCTGGCCTACACCCAGGCTAAGAGAAGCCCAGGGCCACCGGTCTCTGGCAGACCCTCTGGGAGTGAGCTCTGAGGGACAAAGGTCACTTCACGGAGGGATCGCTCCACAGTAGAATCACCTTGCGTGGAGGCTGCCTGGGAAGCATCAGGCCCAAGAGGAAGCAGTGAGGGGAGAAGACGCAGCCCCTGCCCGACAAAGGAACGGGGTACCGGGCCCAAGGCCCCGGCCCGGAGCCAGCGGCCAGGGGGCGCTTCTTGGAGCTGACGGCCTGGGTCCATCTGGAACCTTGGTTCTGAATCGTTCGCAGCACAGTCTCCGTCGGCCCGGCCGGCTGAATCCGCTCTGCCACTGACTCCGTCTGTCCTGAGCGAATTCACACCGTGTCTCTCCCGTGTCCTCATCGGTAGGGGCACCACTTGCGTCGGTGGGTGTCCAGCGGCAGACACTGTCATTGTCGCGGTGGGGCTCTGTGTCACCTCACGAAGCTCTGCGGCACGTTGGCAGTTTCTTGCCTTCCAAAAAATTCTCCTCTCACACGACGATGCAGGGCACACGAACGGAAACACGTGATGCGCAGGCCCCTCTAAGGGGAGCTTCTCCTTCTTTGTCAACCCCATACCTTGAACTTGAAACTGGGATCTCACCTTCCAGGTACTGCTTTCCTTAAGGAAAACTTCCAAATCTCTGAAGAACTGAAGAGAACATATTTTCCTGAAGGGCCAGCCTGAGGCTGAATTTGGAAGCCCAGCCTGCCTCCTCGGGGGCCCCTCGCACGCACACACCCTGGGCCGCCCCTCGACCGACCGCTGCCTGATCGCCCGGAGCTCAGCTTCAGGAAAGGGACCTCCGGGCTTGGGGAGTCCTCCCTCTCAGGAATGTGTGAACTGGCTCGAAAATCTAAGGCTGCCCAGAGAACATTCCCCAGAGAGGGACCATTTCAGGAGGCAGAGTTCGAGGCCTGGGCTTGGAGCCCTCCAGGACCCCAGAAAACTACCTCCCCCTAAAGCCCACCTGTCCTAGCCCCCTTATCATCACATTATACAAATGACACATAAGGAGAGTCTCCCAGGCTCACGTGCTAAGCCATGTGGGGCTCCCTCCATCTCCCTCTGAGCCCTGCGGGGCCACCACAGTGTTCACATGGGGTGCCACCTGGGCCGGTCGGGGTG